AGTAAAGAGGGGTTAAGTAACGCTGCTAGGGGCACATATAGAACCCTTAAAACCCCTCTCTGGCTCGACCTCTAGATCAATACAGCAGACCCTGTTCCTTCTTGCAGCACACTCTACGCCTACAATTTGTTATCACTGATATAGTATTTCAATCCAAAAAATGCATTAGCAAAATTATACCATACACCCATAACACCATCAAGTATTATACCTCGTGTGACGGCCGTCATGGTCGCACACAGTATATTGCCTGAAGTACTGCACACTGGATTCTGTGGAGTTGATGGGAGTTGCAACTGTGTGATTGTCTTCCTTCTTCCCAGGATCTAGGGAGGCTAGATTCCTAGTTCATATACTCGTTTATAGTGGCAAATCTACTCGTAGGTTTTGATAGTTCAACCTGGTTGAGCTGGCTGCACCAGCTCCTTTGGGCCTTTTCCTAGTCCCTTGGGTTTTCCCTAATTCCTTTGCCTAGATCCGTTTGACTAGATCCTTTGCCTAGATCTTTTGACCCCTAGGTGACCACACTCAGCATTCCTTTCTGACAGGCACCCTTTCCATCTGACAATAACCACTGTGCAGCCCTCGCACCCTCTTTAGATTCGACACACTTCTCACTACCAAACCACACCATACATACTATTGCATTGTATGAATGTTGTGACCGTGAATCCGCCGTCATTAATATATAGGCTTTAGTTAAGTAGATAAGGTTATGCAGTAGATAGAAAGGAACCTTCCCGTTCAAACCAGGGCCTGACAAGTAACTGCAGTACTTAGCGTTGTTACTTCCAACGGAGGCTCGTGTAGCCTGATAAGGCTAACTCCTCTCGTCATTCTCATCAAGGACCTCTGACTGTTCAGTGGTCCACAATAACGGATAGTAGTTTGTTCTACATGCATAAACGGCGCTCAATAGTCACCGCCACTCTCCTGACCTTATGAGGTACCCCCTGGCGTTTTGTTCAAGTAGCCCAGCGTCGACGGCTGCGTTCTAATGGGCGGTAGTGAAGTTAGCAGTTGATGTGAGAGGGTGGCGTCCTGGTAAGATGTTGTGGCCTGAGAGGACAATGCAGATGCCAGAGCCCCCAGCTGCAAAAGGGGTAATGGGGGATGGGAAAGGCTCCTGCTCTCAATAAATTGGCGAACTCGCCATACTTTTCTCGTTGGTCGACGAAGACGGGTTGAGACATCCTAGTGCATTAACGGGGTTCCAAAGTTGCCAGTGTGGCCGATGTGCCGTGGCGTAAAAAGACCGCTGCTGGCGTGGGGAAGTCATGATGGCCTCCCCTGAACTGGAACTGCTGAATACATACGATGACTGTTGGCAGTTGTGACCAAGTTCACGCAACGTAGTGATTAACCCATTTACTAGGAGGCACTGCCAAAATTCGATTCCCCAGAACACGCTCAACACCACGCTAACCTAGCTAGGAGGCTCTGGCCACTTATCCAAAACCTCCTCCCTACCCTCCAACACAAACGTCACATTCACCTTGGTTGGCTGATCCAACAGAAGCGTATACGTGCCCGGATACAGCACCGTATTCCCTTTCTCATCAACTCTCGCTAGGCTCCCGAGATTCCAGTCCAGCTTCGCCGTCCCTGGTTGAGAAGCAGTAACATTGAACAACCGTTTATACGTCGCGAGCGTCTTGATCGGGTATGGAGCAGGCCCGTACATGCCCGTCAAAAAGCCCAGCACCACAAAATCCGACGTGCGGGAACCGGTGTTCGTGACGGTTATCGGTATAGAAGGGAACGGACACAGATCCATGTAATACGTTCTCCCCGTGACCTTGGTGCAGTCCGCCAACACGTCCTGGATGGAGAATTTTGCTGGGTAAGCAGTGTCAGGGGATATGGAGAAGGTGGTGTAATGCAGCCCGTGCCCAAAAGGGAAGACGGGGTCTTTGTACCACCTGTAGGTCCTTCCTGGATAGGTGCCTGATGGTCGTAGAGCCATGTTGGTCTGCGGAGCTTGGCTGGTGTAGGAGGATGGGTACATGGTGATGGGCAGACGGCCTGCTGGCGCTGCGAGACCGGCGATGATGTTCATTACTGCCGTGCCGCCGTCTTGGCCTGGATATCCCACCCACAGGATGGACTTGACGTTGGGGAGAGACAGGATGGGTGTGTCGTCGACATGTGTGCCCATCTTTATGACCACCACAGGTTTTCCGACTGCAGCGAGTTTCTGGATCATGGAAAGTTGTCCCGCTGGCCAGGAGATGGACGTGCGGTCCTGGCTTTCCTTTTCGACAGTGTTATCGATCCCACCGAAGAACAGTATAACATTGGATTTCTGCGCGGCGCTCACGGCAGCAGAGCTGTCCGCACTCGACTGCGTCAGCGGTCCATTGACGTAGGTGACCGTGATGCCCATGGCCTTGGCCGCCGTAACCGGATCGTGCTTGAACGGCGGGCTGCCGCTGTAGCCACCTAACATTTTATCTGCAGCGTTCGCCCAGAACCCAATCATCGCAACCGAGAGACTCGAATTCTGCGCGATTGGCAGAAACCCATCATCATTCTTGAGCAGCACAATCCCCTCCTGAGCCGCACGGAGTGCTGTCTCCCTCGCAAAAGGTGTATTCACGTCCGCGGCCCCAAGGCTACGATACAAACTGTCCGGCCCATCAAAGTAACCCGCCCTAATCAGGCCCTGATACTGCCGTAACATCGCCTTGTCGAGCGTCGCCTGACTGAAAGCCTTGGAATTGAACGCCGAAGCGGCGTTGGGCTGCGTGCCGTCCGTCGCCCAGCACATATTATCACACCCAGCCTCGAGCGCGGCCCCAATAGCGGCCGAGTAGCTGCTCTTGTATCGGTGGCCGCCGTTCGCGTTGCCGAGATAGTAGACTGCATCGCAGTCGGAGACAACATACTGATTATCGTCGGTCCAGTTCCAGTGTTTGCGGAGGATCGTGTCCATGAGATACTCGTTCGCGCAGGCGGGCACCCCGTTCACGGCGTTATAGCTGCACATTATAGACCCAACCTTGGAGTCTCTTGCGCACTGCCGGAACGGCGGCAGATAATACTCCACGAGGTCTTGAGTGGACACCTTCGCGTTGAAGTTGAACCGCGTCGTGGAGCCGGCGTTCTCCAGATCATAGGCAGCGAAATGCTTACATGTTGCAACCACGCGATGTGTAGGACCGGTTCCCTGCATCCCGCGGACGAAGGCCTCAGCCCATTTTGAGTTGCGGAACGGATCCTCGCCCGGCGTCTCGTGGCCTCGCCCCCATCGCGGGTCGCGGAACGGGTTGACGTCCGGGGTCCAGAAGTCGAGGTGCGCGCGGCCGGCGTTGGCGAAGGCACGAGCTTCGGTGCTGATTATGATTCCCATCTGGCCGACGAGGTCGTCGTCGAAGGAGGCGCCTGTTGTGATGGCTTGCGGGAACTGTGTTGCTGCGCTGAATTGGCCGCCCCAGCTTATGCCGCGGTTGTGGGCTACCCCGTGCAGGGCTTCGTTCCACCATTGGTAGGCGGACATGCCTAGTTTTGAGAAGCCGGGCGAGTTGCTGAGACAACATTGTTAGTTGAGAGGGTGGTAAGGGGGTTGAAGGGGCAGATACTTGACGAGGTTCGCGAGCTTGTCGCTGTTGCTCATGGCCGCTACGAGAGCGGAGGCTCTCGCCTCCGGCGAAGCCTTGGTGTCGCAGACTACATTTGATTTGAGGGGTCCGCTCTTGCACTCTGGGTATTTAACGCCGGCGTTGGCGGAGGGGGGAAGCGCGAGGACGGCTATTAGCAAACCAGCAAACGAAAGCGCCATGTTGGTTAGTGGTTATGATTGTTGTCAAGTCATTGAAGGCATCAAGGCGAATTCTCTCGCTAGATAAGTCTTCTTTTGGAGAATCTGTCCAGGCCCTTGGGGTCCTTTGTGGCGTTGAGCAATGCGACCCCGGTTATGACGGCGTCCCTGTTTGCAAGGTGGCAACCCGCGACAATTACCCATATGAATACCACCCATATGAATACCCACGATGATGATGTCCATTATACGTGGCTGGCAACGGATTCCCCCTTACCCCAACCTACCTCGTATGGAGTTCTTAGGCTTTGCGATATACAATGTGTATTATAGTAGTCAAATAGATGCAGTTCGGACATCTCGCACGTGAGTCCTCTGACAATCCCTTGGACTACAGTGGTGGTTCGTGAAGCTACGAGGTGCCCGGTGGGGAAGCCACTGAGATGTGGTTAGTGTATGAAGGTGAATTCCGAATCAGCTTGAGATATCAGGGTCGAGACAACATCCGAGGAATTGGCTAAGGTAGCGGAAGGGGCCATCATCGTTCTCTTGGCTCAAGTCTGGGATGGCGGTTATGAGGCCATTGGAGATAGTGTTGGTTATCCAGCTCTTTTGTTTTCTGGGTGCTTGATAATAATTGCTAGACCTGGGTCAAACATACTAGAAAAGTGATGCTTGAAAATGTGAAGCCCAGATGTCAATCATGTCATGGCTGTTGGATACACATTGACCGCGCTGGATGAATTGTCCCCGCGGTCGTCTACCCAGAATTTATATTTCTCTGTCCGGCATTGCATCCGTGCTGTGCTGCGGGAGTGAGATTGGTTGCTTTCGGGGATTATTTTGCGGGGAGAGTCTGGGGAACCTTGATCAGCCGGATATTAAATCTGGACGCCTTTGCCGCTTTTGCATGTGAGGGATTCCGCCCGTCCGACCTTACTTCCACGTCATTTCTTGGCTGTACGTCCATTCGGCACAACTGGTGCCGAGATGGTTGTGATGGGAATCGGACATCAATGGCAAAGTTCAACTCCACAATCCCATCTAGTCTTGGCGTTGGGGAGTCCATTTCTTCTTCGTCCCCCCTTTGTTGGCTGTCCCCTTTTGGAAGTGGGTGACTCAGGCCGGCGAGTATCAGGTGACTCCACCTGTCTAGAGGATTTACTCCGTACGAACCCCATCACGCCAACAAACTTCCGAGGCTCTATGAGTCAGTCTCCGAGGCACGACTTTCATCAAAGGCTCAGTGGTCTAGTCGTATGATTCGCGCTTCGGGAAAATCTCCCTTACCTGTCTGAACAACAGGTGAAACTGTGCGAGGTCCCGGGTTCAAATCCCGGCTGAGCCCTTTGTTTTTGTCCATTTGGACACCTTGCTTGTCCTTTTTGGTTTTCTTTTTCCAGCCGGGATGCTGGCAGCGTTTATCACTGCAAGGCTGGTTGTCGTTGATGTTTTTTATTCATATGTGGGCTCTCCGTCCGGGCGTGTGGATGACCTCAGCTGAGTGATACCTCGAACATAAAATAAGCATCATATTCTCCAAAAATTCTGCTTGTCATGGTTTTATTAGGTGGCGGTTTGCATAAGCGCGAGAAGAACTGCCGACGGGATATATTGGGCATCATTTTTCAGAGATGTGTGGTCGTGTAAGGCTCTGGATACTATTTGATGATAGGGTGGCGACATCAATCTGATATTGTCAGTGGCAAATGGCGAGTGCAGAGGGCACAGGGTGGATGCAGCGCTTCTCGGTCATGTGGAGCCTGAGGTTGATATAAACTGGCGCCTCACGCGGCTATCGCGCTTTAGGCCATGTGCATCGTTATCTATCAATCACGGCCATCATCCCTTGTCCAACAATCCCTGGGGTTCTTCGGTATGATGAACTCTCCGGCAAATGGTATTGGTGTAACAAGCGATGCGGAGCAAAGTCCGGCATCTGCTGCTTTATCTTTTTAGGTCATGAAGAAATCTGGAGTAACTTATCACAACGTGTCCTGCTCAATGACGTAAATGTCGGTGAGTAAGTCTTCATAATCCTTTCCTTTTATGGCATTCCCGAACGTGTCGTGAAACCAGCTTGTCGACGATGTGTTCTGTTTCAGCCCAAAGACAGATGAATTGGGCGTCAATGGCCTTGCCGATTGTAGCCACCGATACGCGGAAAGAGGTTGAGTCTCTACCTACCGAGCAGACGGCTCGCTTAAGGATATCGCCGTCTTGTCTAGATCCGGCCTGGTGTATGGTGTGACTCGATCATGGACACTTCCCTCGACTGATGTCATCAGACTTCAAGTTGCAACTCTAGGGTAGGTAGTTGTATTCTCAGTCCACCACTCAAGGTATATTCGGGGTTCATTTGTTGCTTATTTACCAACAAAAGATTGCAGATCATGAAACGCACGAGCAGATATATAATTCTAATTTCTAGATGGGCTAGGCGATATTTGAACGACGGTCCAGACCGGAGAAGCCAGCGTCGATAGCAGCAAGCCCGATAAATGGGATCGTTCCCTAGGACTACCGCATTCTGCCACGTATGTCATACGACGCCCCGGACGCTTTGGGTCTAGACCGCGTGGACGGCGTGATTTATGGGCTCGTGCCTCAGGCAGGCTACACGGCGTGTTATTGGTCCTGCTCTTTGCTGAACTCTCAGTGTGACACTACTGGTTTCCATTGATAAGGGAAGAACGGGCCGTTTTGGGCGGGCCAACAGCGTGGCCGCAACGTCGGAAGGATACGGCACAGGTGGAATGGAAGCGAGCCGCCATTTTGTCCCCGGTGTTATCTTAGGGTTCTAACATGGTGCTGGATATTGCAGGCCCTTTGACCTGTTACTATATCGGTGCTTAATAATTTAGGCGCGTGTCAAGCAGCAGTCCGGTGGTCCAAATCAGCTTCTAACTGGAAGTAATCAAGTGCCGTCGAGGTGTTCTTGGGGGAGCAGGTGGTAAGTCCCAGGTCTAGAAACGCTCTGTTTCAGCCTCCAACCCGATTTACTCCTGTGACTCACACTACGTTGGATAAAGGATTTGGAGTCTTCGGCAGTAGTCTACTAGAAAATGCCGCCGTGAGCCTTGGTGTAACCGGTGAGGACAAAATACCGACCCAGAAAGCCATGGGCTTCCCTGAATCCTATCCTCTTGACAGGAAGTCTGTCGGGTAGGGACGCATGGACACGGACCGCATAACGGAGCACTTTTGTAAGGTGGTGTATGTGCGTGCTCACGAGACCGGGGAGATCAGCAGCATGGTGCTGCTCGGCATCTTATGGCATGCAGGCCCCATGCCGCCTGGCGAATGTCTATTGGGCACATCGAGAGCCGTGGCAGATATTTGATATGTGCATGCACTGCGATACTCATGAAGGAGCAGCCAGAAATGGCACCTTGGGAGTTGGTACCACCGTGGTACAGGGCTGCAGGTCGGCAGCCACTGGCCTATGAGGTTCCGCAGAAAGAACAGACCAGCAGCCTATTGGCCGTGTATCTGTTATCACCAGATTTCTATAGGTAGGGTTCCGCAGCATTCTTGACCCAATGCAGTTGGCCCTTTCATGCAATCCCCAGACATGCACGCCAGTCTCCCGTCTGACCAGGATGAGGAGCCGGATCTTGGCAAGAAGACCGTCGGGTCGAGATGGCTTGCTTGTAAGGATTCGTGAATAAAAACCAGGCCCTTTGTCACGGAATGATGCCAACTCTGCTCCGCGGATCACCATTTTACGAGCAAGCAGACGACAAGGTTTCGAGACAACCACTGACACTCAACACCCGGGTTCTAAAGAAGATTTTCTGATCGGTTACATGGCGGTGAGTTATACCGAGTCTTCCACCAGCCCTGCCGATACCTGAGCGACTGATGACCCTTTTCCACCAGTTCGCAGTGGGCGACACAGTTCGCATCTACGGCGATACAATCATATACAAAGTCTTGGCCGTGACAAACACATTGGTCACAATCCTCATAATGAACCCCCAGCCCGACGGCACACAGCACTACTTCAGTTCCACGTCGCTCCAGAGCATTGATGCGTCGAGACTCGAGAAGGTTCAAGTCGGATGAGGTCGAAGTACGGAGTGAAGACAGTGCGAGGCTGGGAAGCGAGGTATCTTGAGGGGATTAGATGTAATGGGTACTAGCCTATTGTTTGTAATTAATACATCGGACATGTGGTCAAACAGTCTCAGTTTCAATAATACCCCTGGCCGCCAGGAATCCTTCACCCCTAACCCTCTTGAAGCCGCAGAGAAATGTACCAAAACAAACCCCTTTCCCATGCCCCACCCCTGAACCTAGCTACCAATTGGACGGCTTGGCAGCAGGATCAATAAATCCGACCAGCCGGATGGCTTATTCCTTGTGACCACTATCCGAGTCTGGTTCTAAAGCAGGGGACCAAAAAGCTACCTACCTAGCAGTGTTCTCTCGTCTTGCACAAGAGACTCAAAGTTTCCCTCCTATCTCCGTCTTCGCTAAGATAGAGACGTGAACCAGAAATGAGCAGCTTCCGAACCTTGCATCAGCCCTGCATAACTCCCTACCTCTGCTTCATCCAAGATACCCTCCAGGTTCCAGCAATTTTGGGATTGGTCCGTCCACCACACTTGGATTCACAAGTACCAGCACGACTGATATGGTCGGCGATTCCCTCCATCATCGGAGTGGGTTACGACGCAACCATCCATTATAGGAGCGAAGAACCATAATAGGAGGGATGTGAGGACCCCACACATAACGTTGAGCTGGAAACCTCGAAGAGGTTCCCAACTACCAGTACCCATAAGCGTGCCCGGAGCACGAAAGGTCCGAAACGCTACCACATCCATCGTCCAAAACGCCCTCAATTACGCAGTGCGTGCACGTCCTGAGGCCAATTCTCAAGGGAAGTGCAAAGTTAAGCCTTGCACAACAGCACCCAGACATCGAAGGGCCGTCGCTAGACGAGCTGCAAGCAGAGGATCTATACAGGAAACAGTGACGTGAACATGCCTCGTCGGCCAGGTAATGACACACCCGTCATCAAAGACTCCAGCAAGATATTTTGGGCACCATTCACCAGCTGGGAAAGACGAACGTTTCCCGAGCCAATCACTGACTTCAAGCACGACGCTATTGCACTCGTTGAGTTCACGCGCGCATGGGATTCTCTGAACAAAGTTTCGCAATCGGGAACAGATAACCCACAGCGAATAACCCTCATCAAAGAAGACCTGGAGAAGATGCCGCGAGAGAACGAAAGCGACGGCAAAGCTGACAACAAATGGGTCAGCCAGGGCAAAAAGTACATCTGCGAGTTGACGGGCCTGATTAACCTCAGCGGAGTTCGCTGATACGGGAGGAACGCGCACCTACCAGTCGCTCCTCCAATGCGCAACTCTCGGCCTCTTCGTGTCGGCGTTGCCCTTCTCTTAGCAACCGTCGCAGTTCGTCGATGTCCTCCATTTGTGATTGTAGCGTAGACAAGCCTGGACGTTCGGGTGAGGCTTGTGGCAGTATAGGGAAGGGTGGAAGCCGCGGGTTTCAATGCGGAGAGGCTAGGATTGCAGATTGCAGATGATTTCGGGAGTGCGTGAGGGTGTGGTCTGGGGGGTGGTAATTTGTGTTTGTTCTTGTTAGGTGGCCAGTCGCACTGGAGCGTGAATGGGGACCCGGAGGGCTGCAATGGACATTAACCTTGCTTGGCATGCCTTCGGAGTCCCGAACGTGCTGGCGGTAAGGGCCAACAACGACCTGCAGTCTTCAAGCCACCCATCACGGGTAATGCAGCTTGCTCGCTGCGTCAAAAACCAGAAGTACCCCAATCTTCAAGCGTGCTATCCGGAGGAAAGCTACACAAGTCTGATCAACCGTAACGGACAGACTCACTTCAGAACCTCCTCACTTCCTCTCTTCTGAAAACATGTTTTTAGACAGCTTCGCTCTTCGAAATTGCGATAAAGGCGTCAACCGGAGAAAGTCGACGGGCAAGAGCGCTCTAGCGAAAGGAGATGGGTTCTGAGACCTATCGGTACGATGGGTTTCAGCGAAACGAGCATCGGCCCAGATCAACAGGCTAGGATCCAAGCTACCGCACGTCGGCTTCCATCATACCGTTATGTCCCCTCTAAACGGAGGAGCAGTTTGACCAGCGTCTTCAATCCTTACCATGGTCAATCGTAGATGCTCCCTTCTATTTACAATACCATAATGGGCCTTTGCCCAACACATCCGAGAAAAAGCCATCAAACAGACGCCGGCGCACAGTTGATGATAGCGATTACGTGGCCCGGGACGGACGATCAAGATCACACCCGCGTTAACGCGCGATCTTCCGTCGGTATCCTGGATAAACACCTTCTCCCT